AGGTGTGGATCACAAAGAACTCTCCTGGAGCCAAAGCAAGTGAGGTGAAATAATTTTCATGGGCTTTGAACAGAGAAGTGGAACAGAGCAGGGTTTTTAAGCAATTTTATTCTAACAATACAGTCTTGATTTTGATTGATATACAACAACAGTTTTAATGAAGGTGAGGCTAGCATCAGTGTGTTAAATACCTCATATTCTATTTACAAAAAGGGTTTAGCTCTTCTAGGACTGTGCAGAATATTGCTCTTTTATTTCTAGTATACTTATAAATGTATAAATGCCTAAGAGTATGGGAGAAATGAAAATTTAAAATTATAAAACATCATCTGAATTTCTCCAGTTTCAAGAATTATAGAATAAATATCTTGGAGGAAAAATAATTTAAAATTGTATCATACTGCTTTCCTATTATACTTCAAATACATGCTTCAAATTAGATGGCAAATCATTGCCTATTTCTGCATCTACCGAGTATATTTCCACTGTTTGTATATCTTTTCAGTACTTTCATGCTTGGTTCTGGAAGATATGAATCGTATGTATTCAAGGTGCCTTTCATAATAAGCTCCACAGCCCAATAGTAGTACAGACCAGGAAAATGTAATCACTGATACTTGAGTACATTTCTTGGAAATATTTTCATGCTGGCTTTAAAACCATTTTGACTTTCAGACATCGAACTTGAAAGACCTGTTTGTCTGAACTTTCCCTTTTCCCCTTTCACCCTCCATCATTCTCAAGAAACTTTCAATCTTCACATTTTTCTTTTCTGACTTCTGCAATACACAACCTTGAGACAAAATGACCTTTTATAAAATTCCCTAGGGTGAGGGATCTCCAAGTGGGTTGAGCCGTAAAGTAGGAGTTACCATTTTCTCTCTTCCAGGAGCGACTTCATTTTATGCTTTTAATTTCTGGCGTGTTGACTCAGGGTTCCAGATTTTTTCAACCTTTTGGCAACCCGCTTTCCAGAGCTCATCTAAAATTTTGTATCCACTGTTCCCCTCCACAGATTTCACTCTTGTAAGTCTGAGAGAGAAAAACCCGAGTGGGAACAGCAGTGGAGGGAAAAGTGTAGAGGACATACAAGTTTGTTAAAGTTTTATATAAAATTATAAAAGTTTTAGCCCTTGGGACTTTTTAGACACTGTCTGGAAAAAAGGGAAAGGTCATAAAAAGCAAGGCTGAAAATAAACAAATAAAGACATGCCAAGAAAGGGGTCTCTCCGATGAAGCTCTCTTCAGAACACTGGGTCAAGAAAGGTAAATCTAGAGATACTCAGCGGGAACAGCATAACCGAATTCCAAATTATCTTCCCTCCAGCACGACTCTTCCTGTGGCTCACGGATTCCTTTTGCTTTGGGCAGGAAACAAACATATTTTTGGAAGCGTGAGGAGGCGATACATTAAAAAAAGAAAATTTGTGCATATCAAAATATTTGTTTTTAAAGTCTGTATATGAAGTATTTATACATGAAATCACACTTCTTGGATATGCATAGCTAGGGTTGGGAGATGAAATGAAGGAAAAATGGGTAAAATACAAATGAAACAAGAATTGGGAAAATATTAGTATTTGTTGAAGCTGGGTGGGTGATTCACCCAGAGTGATTCTATGGAATTCACTCTGCTAGCCTCTTACCTTTGCATATGTTTGAAATTTTCCATAGTTTCAAAAGGTGAAAAGGTTGATGAAAAATTACGATTAACGATTTTATGTTCTTTCAGTTGTATGGAATGGAGTCAGTGGTATTACTTTTAGCTCACTTAGTGATAACTGGTTTAGGTTTCCTTGCAAGAGACTATGTTCTACCCCAAAGGACAGATCTGTGTAATACATACAGAACCATAAAACCACACACGTCTAACCCGTAATCTTTTTTTCTAATAGAATTTATATTCCTTGGTATGGAGCTTCCATCATCACTACAACACATTTCATTCCTAGTAATTAAAAAAAAAAAAAAAAAGTGTCCTGGAGTACTGGACATGTAATTCATCAGGCAGACTAATTTTATGGAAAAAATCCCATAGTGCTACATACACAAGCGTTGAGTTGCCTAATGTGAATTTAACATATTGAGTTTTCCACCGTATTGTATTTCCTGCTATAGCTTACTCCTGATGCAGCAGGCCCTTACAAGTTTAAACAGGAAGCTAGCTATACTTAGGGTCTCTTTCAAATATACATAAACATATCAACTTTTGAGTCGGAATAAAAAATCATAAAATCTACAATTCCCATTTGATGAACATTTCTGTTACAGGCCTTAACTTCATAAGTATTTTTTTTCATCCGAGCAGAAGTGTGAGGAGGCATTATCACCACCATCATTTTGTAATGGAAGTGGGGTTCAAGGAGGTCGAAAAGCCCAATGATAAATGGATAAGTGGAACCAGACTTTGAAGCCAACTCTGTCTGAACAAAGCCTGTGGTATCATTATACTCTATATTTATATACTATCTCTGTGTGCTCTTCTGAAGGATTAAAACAACATAGCCAAAGTTCTAAGGTTCAGGACATCGCATCCAGCAAGACTGAGGTCTGAATTTATACTTTAGGTTACGGGTATCACCTCCATAGTTTTATTACAGTTCAGGGAGAGTTGGTATGTTCAAGGTCATGCTTTTCCCAGGGAGGCCCTGCTCCTAAGTGGCAGAATGAAGCAGATCTTTCTTCTGTCAGGCTGATTTCTCCTCTCCCCATTAGGGAGAAACAGCCCAAGCCACTCAAACACCGGGACTATCAGGAAACAGTTTGGGGGAGGTCATGATTTGCATTCTCAAAGAGCTGAAGTATCTTTTGTTAAAGTGTTTTCCGTACTGTTTTTAGTAGACAGGGTATACTGAAGGCACTTACTCTACAGACAGGGGTGTGAATGTAAAGAAAGATATTTGAATAATATCTTTAAAATATTTCAAATTTTTATTAAATATTTTTATTCAGTTTTAAGATCACAGTTAAAGTACTTTAGCATGTTATACACATGACTTACATGTGCAATTTTTAGAAATATCAAATTAAGTATAAGATTTTGAAGAAAGAAATTATATAAATGTGTATATTGACTTTTACTACACATACATCTAAGAAAGCAATAATTCTGTTGTACCATTAAGTGGAAATCATTTATTACATGGCATGTTTACACCAACTCTAAAGAGAACCAAGCCAATTTCTGAAAGCAAAAAAAATGAGCAATTCAGTCATGCTGAAACTGTCAACAGACTTAAGACCTGGTGGTCAAATGAAGCCATGGTTAATTTAGGACATGTAAGTAAGCAATTCAAACCTATGAGAAAAGTTCATAATCTGGAACAATGGAGTCTCAGGTGGTTTTTATTCTTTTTTGGACAAATTCCTGAGAGCAAGAGACTTGTTTAGTGCTAATGAAATGCGAAGAATGTTGCTGAGCATGTGCCGAGCTCCAGGTCACAGACCTGCCCCACCCCCAGTTCTGCTGTTCTGAGAGCCCAGGCGTTAACCTGAGGCGTCCAGGGACATGGGCCGGCCCCCGGCAACTGCCAAGGACCAGCAGTGTTAGTTGGTGAAACACACGTGCCCTTGTGATTCACGTTAGAGCCTGTGAGGTATGACTGCGGTGCAGGTGGGAGGGTTCAGAGGCATTGAATTAGGTCCTTGTTACTCAGTAACCAGTTATAGCCCAAGTGACCGGGCAATCTTTGGAAGGAGTAGTAATTTTCATGACAACTAGTTCTGTGCACAAAAACCAATTGAGGGCAGGATCAATTTTGACCACTGACTGCAACAAGATAACAGTGGCCAGAGAACTTAGTAGACGGTTTCCTCCTTCAACTTCTTAGTATAAATCCTACCATCGCAAATAAAATTTGGCCAGGAGACGAAACTTGCATTTTTTGTGTGTGAAGAAAATGTGTACTTATGTTTTTTAAGGAAAGCATAGCACAGATGGAGCTGTATCGGGGGAATCAAATATATTTGTCTCGTTGTTCACTATTTTTGTTGTCACTTCTTTGATCCGAAATGGAAAGAAAATAATGTCCCCAGTGAAAAGGACAAGGTGATTTAATATGGAGTATAATAAACTTAGCTATCACTTCCAAACTAAAGCAAAGCAGTCCATCAAACCCTGAATACTTCACCAGACCTATCTGGTAAGATAAACTGAACAACTTGTTTCTTAACGTGAGTATGATGTTAGTTAATCTAAATAAGATGAGTTTTACACTTGATCTTAGCCAAAAGGCCGAGAAGCGATTAAATAAGATGAGTTTTAAAAACCCCCAAAACTCAAGTAAGAACAAAATCCAAATCTAACTCTTTGGGAATGCTTGTATAAATAAAAGCAACATCTAATTAACAATTAGTACACTCTTTATAAGGTGCAAAACAAGGTCCTATGTGGGGAGAGCTAAATTTTCATTTCCACCTAGCAGTCACTCTGAATACTTTATAGGTCAAATGTAATAATGACATTTGCTTCTGCTGCCCATTTTCAGCAATACATTGTTCTCTCTGGAGAAGGTGGTTTGGGAAGTCAAAACACTGCAGTGGGAAACAGTGGCACTGAAGGTAGAAGCAAAAAAAAAAAAAAAAAAAAAAGACAGACCTTTGAAACAGGACTTACTGAAATTAACTTTTAAAGCCGAGGTAGCCCATTAGAATTGGCCTTATGTGAGGGCTCTATGGAGCAGTGCAATCAAAGGTGAGTCTCCTCAACAGCATCACGGACACCCCGACTTTCCCTTTGCAAATGCTGATTCCAGGCCTGGCGGGACTTCCTGCCTTCTCCCCAGCGAGGCCACGGTGGCTCTTCTCCTCTGCTGGGTGGGTGCCGGCCTCCAGCTCCAGCTGCTGGTCTCCAGAACGCTTGGGATTCATACAGTAGTTTAGCAGGCAGCATGGTCCCACTGCTTCACATTAATGCCAAACGCCAAACTTGGAACAGAGCTATTCGATACCCTCCCTCCCACACTGTATAAACAAAACGTGTCAGCTTCCAGCTTACTCCTGGTTCTGGATCAATTTATAATTTGCTTGAGATTTTACATTAGGTGCAAACTTTTCCATACGATGAGCCAAAGACTGCAGAGTGCAAACAAAATTTTATGAAATGACTTAGGCGGAGTAGCATCTGACTTGCTAAGAAAGTGACAGGGAATAAACATGTTGGAATATAAATAACCGGACCAGTTCAGATGCTCCTTTTTGTTCGGAGTGTTCCATCGCAGGAACCAGAATCAGTGATAATATGGGAATGATTTCAGCATGGCTTTGAGATGGCATTGGTAGAAAGCTCTTCTGACAGAATTAAACAAACATAGTTCTGGTATTTGTGGGAAAAAGACTGTCAGAATTACAACAGTATGATTCATCCTTATAAAAGGGCTTTGATGAATTACAGTTTGATCTAAAATCTGGGAACTAACCTAATCTGGGGATAAGAACCTGTATCGTCAATGTGGCTGTGGGACGTTGTTTCCTTCTCCTGATCTCCTTACAGTTATCCAAACAAATAAAAACTTAAAAAGGATGTCTTACAGTATTTTTTTTTTCTTTCACTCAGCTTCTTACAGCTGCAGCTTCAGTTACTATAATATACTCTACACACTTCAAAATTACATAGGAAAATACCCAGAACAACTAAATAAATAAAAGGCTAAAGAAAACTGGAACAGTACTGCGTCTCCATCTGAGACTAAATCATCCACTTCGGCATCACAGAGAAGGGCTAGGACAATTTTTTTCAAAAGATTTATATACAGGTTTGAATCCAGAAATTAAGGTTAAAAGCATAAATATCGATAATTTCAACTAGATTCAGAATGGTTTTTCAGAAAGATATGATACAACAATTTAGAATAAAACAAAGCAGGCATCGTATTTTGGTTTGCTTGAGATATACATAAGGTGCAAGAACTTCTCTTGAGGATGCTTGTGGGACAAATGTTAGTGTCAATGGTGTTTGCTGGCAGATTAAGGTACACACCATAGCAATATGATTTTCCAAAATATAAAAGAATAAGATAAATGAAATGAAAATGGTAGATGGGGGGGGCACTACATGTTGGTTGGGAATATCTGTGCTAACAAATATTGTTACCTGAAAATGCCAACACCCCTTACCAGCGGATTCAGGGCATGAGAAAAGCACTAGTATTGAAATCAAGACTTCACTCAGAGAAACAACAAGGCGAGTGTCTAAAGGACTATAAAGCTTTGCAGGATTTCTGCTACTCTCAGTGCCTAACCGCTTAAAAATTAAGCATTTCTACAAAAAGTTTTTTTTTTGTGTGTGTTTTTTGTTTTTTTAAGTATCTGAAAACAGTCATATCCAGTAGGTTGCCCTCCCACCCCACCCCTGCCTAAGGGAAAAGCCACTGAGGTTTAGGAAAAGCAGATCAAGTAAGATATTAATCACATAGAAAAAAGTAATCTTTTGTTTTGCTTCTTTTTAAAAAAGGTCCCATGAATATACAGCAATCTCTTAAGGAAATCTAGTGAAATGTAATTGGAGGATTGAAGGACGGTGCTCTGGCAAAAATAGATCTATTCTAACGTGTTCTAGAGAATAACAAGTTAGTACCATTGTCAAGGTGCATGTTCTGCACCAAACAATTTCTGTTGTTGGTTTTTGTTTTGTTTCATTTTGTTTTGTTTTTGGATTTTTAGCTAATTATAATTTTTAAATCACTGCTAGCAAGTGGTCCAAAAACTCCAACAGCCACCAACATTGGGACCCAGCAATTTTCAAACATTCACTTTGTGTTTTGAAATTTAGAAAATATTAATAAAACAGCATCATAGTAAAAATATTATGCTAAAATCTGGGGCTGCTCACCTGATTTATTTCTACGTGAATGGGGTTAAGCTTTAACCTCGGACTAACTAGCTTTCTAAATCCTTCTTCCTCCACGCCCACAATGTTTATGCATTTTTGAGGACACCATTCCAATGCTCTGCTGTCCTCTTTACCTGCTTTGAAGAAAAAAACAACCCAAACAAATCCCTATCTTCTTTTCAATTGTTAGTATGTTGTACATATTTTCCAGCACCGAAACTGAAGTAATATCTACAACTATGAAAAGCTAAATCTAGTCAGTACTAATAGAGTCGTTTTTTGTATGGCTATTAGGTCAGATTACGATTAGAAAAAAAAAAAATCATCATTACAATTCAGTCAAGTATAAATAAGAAAGCTAGATAAAACCTTGTAAACTGTCATCATTTAGAGATCTAATTCAAAAGCTTCAAACTCGAACTAACACTATCAAAATTCCGCCAGTTTGAAAACCAATAAAAATTATTGCTGGAATCCAATAATTAAAATTTGGTAGTTTGTGCTGTGATGCAAGAGTGGGGATCTACTTTGTGCTATGGAACAAATACCCTGTAAACTCGGTAGCCTCCGACTAATTTTGATTTATCACTTTGCATGTGTTGCTAGGAAACAAGACACTGAATGTCAGGTGGTTAAGTGGGTATGTCGAATGTTCAGATAAGCCAGGTAATCCACTTGGCACTGGCATATGTATGGTTGGTTTTATGTCCGAAAGCAACAAAACAAAAAGGAAACAAACTTGCAGGTGGATCTGTGACTAAGAATCCCACTCTGGTCAGGCATCCCTCCCTCGGCATTTATTCATTCAACACCTCCTTGACAACATCAACTCAAATGGCTCTAAAAACCTGCAGTGCCAATTAGGCTGTGCATAGCAATTGCTACCCGTCCAGTCTGTCTGGGATGGATGTAAAAGGTCTGTAGCTCAAAGTCCACATGAAGTGAGTGTCTTCAATGTGTTTAGGATAGTGAAGTAATACTAAGGTCACTTCTGAATAATATTTTTCTTTTTTTTGTTTGTATGAACGATCCATTGGTCACATAGACCCCTGTGTAAAAATAAAAGAATCCTCAAGGCATGAAAACATCAGTAATCTGTAATCTGTAGGACTCTTCCCCTGTCTGGGAAAATATTTGCCACAATTTGCCCCAAGCAAATTCTTCTTAGTCACTGAAGGCTAAGAAAAAAACTCAGCTTGTAAGAATTGTAATTCTCTCTCTCTCTCTCTCTCTCTCTCTCTCTCTCTTTCTCTCTCTCTCTCTCTCTTCCTTTTCACCAGCAAACTACCACTCTGGTGGCAAATATAAAAGTGCAGAATATATGGACCACGAGGCCGAGCATACACCGCTAACAATGGTACATGTGCCTGCCCGTGCTGCTTGGGGGTCTCTGGAACAGGCTTTTTAATATTATTCTACAATATAAATGTAGGTATAACCTATTATATAAACCATCTTAGAACTTAAATCTCCATGTACAAAAAAGACTAAGAATATCTAATAATAACTAGTGCAGTGCGTCAGTTTTTGTTTTTTTGTTTTTTGTTTTTGTTTTGAAAGAATAACTAGGTAATATACGAAACTAGTTTCACACTCTCCGGTTGGTAAAAGAGACGCTGGATGAGCTACAGTAAAGGCAGCCTTTTACCAAGTTACCACCTATTACCGTCAAAAGCCTTCAATAGAAAGCAAAGCTCCAGGATCATTCTGTTTCTGCTCATTATCAGACAGATAACCTCACCCTCAAAGACTCTGGGTTCCAAAAGAACAAACGGGCCCAGGATGCTAACTTCTGCTTCAAGTGAATCTGGGCCGTGTAGGGCAACAAGCACTTGTTTGCAGTCTATATTTTCCACCACATGGACTCACTAGCATCCCTCCGTAAAGACAAGGCTAGGGTAGTAGGTAAAGCACAATGTTTTACAATTAAAGGGCGCTTCACTGGTCAGCGCAGGAAATAAGTACAGGAGCCTGTGGCATTTCTTTTGGCTGTCCATCATGGGTGAGCGGAGTGGACCTCTGACCTCTGCAAAACAAGAGGAAGAACAAAAGAAATCACCCACTTAGAGTATGTTATCCGACACAGGAGAGGATGATGAGTAACCAATAAGAGCTTTCCAATATCTTGTTTAACAGCTAATGTTGACTTGTTACTGATGCTATTTAAACTGTTAGCTGCTGCTTTTATTGTTTTTTGAAAAACTTCTTATCTCAGTTCACCTCACATGACTCAACAACACACTGTGTCCCAAACAACCATCTCCATTTTGCAGAGATGAAATCTGAAGCACCAACAGATTTGGGGCAACTCCCTAGGAAGTGGAAAACTTTTAGTCAAGGGCAGTGGTTCTAAGACAATAGTCTCTTGATCCACTGATATTAAAACAGGACCCATTCCTTTCCTCAAGCTGCCCAAGGGGAAAATTCTCCTCTACTAATTGATAACCTCCAGGATTATTTCCTAAGACATATAATAATAAACGCAATTTATTTAAGTGTTTATTTATTTATTTTTGGGGGGGGGGAGGGGCAGAGACAGAGGGAGACCGAGAATCCCAAGCAGGCTCCATGCTGTCAGCACAGGGCCTCTCATGTGGAGCTCAAACTCACGACTTGTGAGATCATGACCGGAGCTGAAACCAACAGTGGGACGCTTAACCAAGTGAGCTGCCCAGGTGCCTGTAATATTAAAACTTAAGTGTAATTAAAGCAATGGCTGGAGACCAGAGGCCTGTGACCCTAACACAAATGAATGAAAACACTGAAACCCTCCTAACTAAAGAAAAGTCTCACAGGCACATGGAGAGCAAGAGTGCAAGGGAAGGAGGCAGGCAGTGACTCGTCTTTAAAGTGTGAGAAAACCCGCACAATTTGGGTAAAATCAACATGTGCAGAGACAGAACTCTAGACAAGACAAGAAAATTCATATAAATAACCATCATTTGGATTGAACTACACCAAACTTAGCCAATTTTTTATTCTGCTTTTGTTTAATGAGTAGGAAAAAATTTACTTCACAGTTGTAAGAGAACCCTTCAAATTCTTGGTTAATTTCCACAGAGCTTCTCATTCTAAAAAGACAGGTTTGGGCACCTCCCTGACATTCCCCAACAGGCCTACCAAAGACCGGACAAGGTGCGCTCACTGCTCTGGCCTACAGTGGTCTGTGTTGCACAGAGCTGGGCTGAAAATCTGTGATGCAGCAGCAAGGCTTCCAGTGGCCTGACCCTTTCCACATCGTATCTTCTTCAGATGACACGGAACAAAAGCAGCTTTTTAGAAATTCAAATTATACCTTTTTTACAACTAAATCCAAGTTTCTTTCTCTTGATGCACACACACAAAAATAATGTAGATAAATTACAACATTTGGGGATTTCAGAATCCAATAATCACTTAGCCTCAGATACTAGGATTTCAGAAAAACAAAACATGTGCTATAATCAAACCTCTGGATTAATCTGTTCAGTCATGTGGGGATGCTGTAAGCACCAACTGTTCAATATGTTCAACTCTTTGTTCAAGAAAGATGAAATTAAAATGCCATTTTTTTACCTTTACGACTGAATATGTAACAATATTACAAAAGCTAAAAGAATTTTAATTAAGTATTGAAAAAAGGAAACAGAAGAAAAAAAAAGTGAAAGATGAAAAGTACAGTATAAAAAAAAGAGCAACAGGGACAGAGAGCAACTAGGGTGAAAGCCCAGTTTTATTAGAAAACAAAAGCAAAGGAGGGGGGAGCCCAGAATGGCTACAAATAACGGATGCTGCCGTTCCCAGCATAAGGGTCGGTGAGATTCTTCGTGACTTTCTAGGACATGACAGATGATTGCTTAAGCAGCATGTCTGAGCAAAGGCAAAGACACCGGAGTTCAAAGACCTTAGTTCAAATCTTAACTCAGTTTAGATGTGGGTTCTTGGCAAGTTAATGGTCTGCAGTTTCGTTAAAAAGGGATCAGAAAGACCCACCCGGCAGGGCTCATTTTAGGACTCAGTTTAATGAGCTTTCCCCTTATGGAAGTCCTAGTAAACAAACAGGCTCTCAATGAAGGTTTATTCCAACTTCCTATTTCCTGCATTTTGCAAAACTGCCTTTCTATGTCAGGTTTCTGAACCTAACATTATGATTTCTCCTGGCAAGAATGCAGGTAATATGTTTCCACCCCAACTCTGCTCATCACCCTCAAAATTATGAACCTAGGTGATGCGAAAACAATAGTCAATGGGTGTGCAACCCAGGTAAAAGTACATTAAGCCTGCAGGTAGATGGCAGTCTGGAGGTTCTGCTTTAACAGGTAAGGGCCCTTAAGGGGGATCTGTTTTTGTAGATATTAAGAACACTAACCATTTATGAGATTGATAGTAAGATTCTAGTATGCAATATTGTTCTGTCTAATGGGAGATTTAAAAAAAAGAATCTTTTTTCTATGCTTGCTAGTGAACGTAGGTGGTCATACTTTAAGAACATCTCATCTATTCATTCACCCATTCATTTTTTCATTCATCCATTGATGTAGCAGGAACTAAGGAAGCTGGGGATGTGAGGATTAAAACCAGCGCTCTGCTTTCAAAATTCAAGAGACAGACATATCAAGGAATAATTACAGCCCAGTGTGGCAGCTGGTCTCAGAGAGCATGAATAGAAAGTATGCAGGGACTTCAGGAGGGAGACACAGAGCAGAAAACAGGACTAGCGACAGAAGGAGAACCAGGAGTTCGTGGAGACGGGGAGGCACACAGGCAAGAACCCGGCTTATCCAGGTGGCAGCAACTGATCCCACGTGATCGCAGGGCAGAGAGGAGAGTGGGAAGGTTTGGTGAGGCTTTCTGCTGTTGCAAACTGGAAGTCACGGAAGGTTGGTTAACAGAGCCAGGGTGTGACCACAGTTGTGTCTGGAAGGGGATGCTGGCGGCAGCACCGGGTGACTGTGTGGTAGACCTTGCTGAGCCCTGCATTATGATCCTCTCCGACTTTTTACATTGCCTTTTATCTGAAATTTATGGGGACACTTAGTAACATGCAGGCATGCATTTCATTCTTCTCACACGTGTAGGAGTCTGTCCTCTGTATGAGTGGAGGTATTTGTGCATGATCTCCTTCAGAGATTTGAGCAGATTTTAACAAGGTCTGTCGGCATTCTCTTGCCGTTAGGCACTTACAGTACACACAGGAAAAGGAATTTGACTTCTTGGAACTATCTAGAGGCTATCTGTGAGGAAGCACTAGAACTGTAACATGACAGGTAAAGGGCCTCCTGAACCTGGATGTGGAAAGGGGCAGTGCAGCCCAACAGGAGGGTATGGAAGTTGTGCTAGATTTAAAACTTTTGTACTGAAGACGGAAGTCTGGGAAAGTAGCTCACCTGTGGGTAATCCACTTTGAATAAAAGTACGAAATACCCAAATTTACAAATGGCTATTTTTGCTTTCCCAAAGGATCCATTAAATAGTAGAGTCCCAATTATACACGTAGAACTTTAATATACTTTCTGTGAGGCTTTACTGAGTTCAAAAGCCTTTCAGATTTATGATCTCACGTGATCCTTACAGCTCTGTGATTCTTTGGGGCTATCATTATGCTCCATGGAAGATGAGAAAACCGAGACCGAGAGAAATGACTTTGTAGCAAACTGACAGTTAAAGAAAAATCCAGACCTTCTGCCGTCCATGAGTCAGATGCCAAGACGCTTTTTCCTGACCACAGTTTTCTTCCACTCCCATCACGACTGCTGCCAACACCATCGTTAACCAGGGCATTTACCATGTACCAGCACTGGGACATTAGTTCATTCCACATAACATCTCTATGAAATGAGTGTCACTTACACCCATTTTATAGAAGCAAAACTGAAGCATAGAGAGGTGAATGATCGATCTTGCTCAAGACCTTGCAATTTACAGGTGAAGGATGTAGGGCTCAAACCCAGCTCTGAAGCCTGACCTCGAAGCTCCAACTTAATGATTAGAGAATATTGCTTCTCTGCTCTTTCAGGTTTTTATGGAAATGAAGTTTAGCCACAGGATAGTATATTTAAAATGCAATACCTGGCTGACTATATTATCTTATATTTTCCCACACTGCTAATTAGGACATACGCTTTTGGAACATGTCACATAACTTGCTCTTGAACCAAGTCTCGTGAACCCCAAAGCATTGTGAAAAAGGCCACAAATCACATCAGAGAGAGTGATTCGGCTTCCACATTGCTCTCTCCATCCCTCTTCCGTGCCCAGGAGTGAGGATGAACGGGACTCCCCAAATCCTGGGGGAGCACACCACTCACCTGTGTACGTTCTCCATGGCGGCCACTTCAGCCAGCGCGGCGAGACTGAAGAACGCAGACACGGCTGGCATCTCCGGAGTGCTGCTCCGCGTCTCCGCGGCCTCAGTGTTGTGTGAGCAGTCGTCACCGCAGCCGGACTCGGTCACTTTAGGGAGACTCCTCTGCAGTTGTTCCTTTGGTTTGTCATCTGTAACGACAGGGAAATTGATCACAGGAGGATCACCATGTTCTCTCCAGAGGAGGGACACAGAGAAAACTCTGTGCAGACCATGTGAAATGAGCTAATATTCTTTGTTCACTTTTGTCATGCATCGAATACCAAGGCTTTTATCAAGGATTTTCTGCTCCCACGGTAACAAAACTCTTTTATTAAGCTCAGTGGCAACTATGGACAGTGCTATGCCCTGAAGCTAGGTGGAAGAGAAGCTGAGTTTTATTCAAGGTCAAAGAACAGGTCAGTCTCAGAGTGAGAGGGAAAAAGGGGCTTTGGCCAAAATAAAACCTATGGGACTTCTGCAAAGGGGCCTGTGGATGCTGTACAAAGCCTCTAAGACCCAAGTGCGCAAACGTTTCTGATGAAGCCGTAGGATGCCCTGCAATGGCAACTTGTACACTCGGTACGCTGTGACACCAACACTTAGGATCACCAGCACTGAACTAATCCCAGTGAGATCCCAAGTTGTTATTTGTGTTCTGAAGACCTACTGGAAAGAAGACAAAGGGCCCCCTGGTATTTACAAAGAGGTGCTAAATGCTATGAAAATCTACCTGCAGGGAAGGAGTACACTTTCTAGATTACATGGCCATTATAAAGGAGGAGGAATCTTTATCATGGTTTTTAAAACATTTTAAAAATAGAAAGCAACTGATAAAGAACATAAATGTCCTATACTAGGACATGACAGTACTATGTGCTTTTTCTACATGAAGGTAATATTTTCTACGTTCTTCCACTCTTTCTGTAAGTGAAAATGAGGCTATAACAACTTATAAAATCAAAATCACAGGGGCACCTGGGTGGCTCAGTCAATTAAGCATCTGACTTCAGCTCAGGGGTTTGTGGGTTCGAGCCCCATATTAGGCTCTGTGCTGACAGCTCAGAGCCTGGAGCCTGCTTCAGATTCTGTGTCTTCCTCTCTCTCGGCCTCTTTCCCACTTGCTCTCTGTCTCTCTCTCTCAAAAATAAACAAACATTAAAAAAAAAATCAAAATCACAGAACAGAACCCAGAGTGGAAAGGGAAGGGGCAACAGGCCTGCCGGACTAAATTTCAGGAAAAATAGATTCTAGTCCTTATCTTCTACCTAAGTAGTCCACTGTATTCAAAAACCAAACCCTACGTCTCTGATCTTCATCTCTTATATAAATGGGGGTATTTAATGTGCTTTACTGCCCTAACAATCTGCATATGCTAAACACAAGAAAATGTGCACAAAACTCACTAATTGTCCTCCTATTCTATTCCAGCAATGAATCTTTATTTGCAATTACATTAACCTTAATCAGGTATTTTAAAATATCCCTCTCAAAAAATACTCATTTAAACATTTTTTTAGACATTTTATTAGTTTTTCATCACGATAACTGTACTCTTTACTCCCCATCACCTGTTTCATCCATCCCCCCACCCACCTCCCTCTGGTAACCATGAGTCTGTTCTCTAATAGTTAAGAGTCTGTTTCTTGGTTTGTCTTTCTCTCTTGTTTTTCCTTTGCTCTAAACGTTCTTTTTCTATTTACAGAATTCATTATGGACCTGTGTCCTTTTTCTGGAAACTGGATTAGGGAAGGGGGAGGGATAACTCAAAGCTGATGGAATGAGATGCTGGGGGTGCTGAAAGGCAGAAAAAAAGGCAATAACAGCTAAGATCACTAATGACACCCCAAGATCTGAGGGGATTGCTCAGTGTCACTCTCTGACTCCATTCCTTAACTTGGGTCCCTCTGGCAATTCTGCTGCCATGGAGGCCATGAGAAACAGCAATAGACCACAGGCCATGACTGAACATGGAGAAACTCACAGTAAGTTCAGATCGAGTTCAAGATTAGCCCAGAGAACTCAAGAAATCCAGGAGCATTCTCAGGCTCCCTCAGTGGTCTGAGTCAGCTTTAGAGGAAGGACTGGATGCTTTCTAAGGTTCCTTAATCCATTGGTTGAAATATTTGATAATATGGTTTGTAGTGACTTAAACAATGAACCGGGACGAAACACTGATTCAGCTAGTATTTTTAAAAGTCTAGGATCTCTGGGAATTTACTTAATGAAGACTATTTTTGTGCATGCTGAGAAAGAGAAGGAGAAACACACAGTCCTAAAAATTACCTTTCTTTTCTAAGAATGCTTTTGGAAAAAGAGCTGTGATTTTAAAATGTGCACATTTTGTACATTTGGGAGTCTGTGGAAAACTAGCTCTCAAGGAGATCCAGAGAAAGAAAATGTTACTATGACCAAACCCACAGAACAGACCCCTTTTCCAATGAGGACCCATACTTGGCTTATCGTCATTTGCTGGCCAATGGGGCCATGACAGTCACCGGCTTGCTCTGGTTATCTCTCATTTAAGGCTCCCTCTTCTTACCCAAAGTACCTCCTGCTGGTGACACCCGGCCATCTGCTGTCCTGACAAGGTGAGTGATCTTGGTTTTCCTTGCTTTTCTCTTTTGGCTGCCCACCAAGGGTTCTTGAGTTGTTGTTGGCTCTGGAGTGTTGGGAATGGATAGGGCATTTTTAACCTTATGAGCAGGCTCTGTGGTGTTTTTGTCTTCTGAAAATATGGCTGAAATAGGACAGACAGATCATATATGATTACACAAAAAAACACAAGACATCAACATTGCTCTTGGAAAGAAACATTTCTCAATGTCCAAGCTATCTGAATGGAGAACCTAAGAGTTTTCAAAGTACTGATGAGAAAAAGAAATAAAACACTGCCCGTGATTTTCAACCAAAATACTTATTTATGTTTGCTTTGATAAATTAAGTACACAGGATTAAGATGCCCTCTCTCTCTTTTAACAGAATACTGAACCAAGAGGCCATCAGAACAACATTTTCTAAGAGTTTGGATCTCGCAGGTTGGTGGGAAAGATAGCATATGTGAATCTGAGTGAATTGTGTCCCAACAGACTGTAATTTCTACATGTGGTCGGGGTCCCTATTTGAGATTCCCTTGGCCACCTAGTCTGGAGAAGATGATAAACAAGTTTCTCTTCTTCTGAGGACACTGAGATTAATTAAATATGTGCTTCTTTTTTATTTTTAAGTTTATTTATTTATTTTGAGGGAGAGAACGTGGGGGAGGAGTGGGGAGAGAATCCCAAGCAGGATCCGCACTGTCAGCGCAGAGCCTGACACGGGGCTCGATCTCACAAACCATGAGATCATGACCTGAGCCAAAATCAAGAGTCAGACGCTTAACTGACTGAGCCACTTGGGCTCCCCAGATATGTGCTTCTTAAATTCACAGTTATCATTGGGACATTTGCTTTCCATCACCGGGCTGGACTGATCAGAAAAGAAACTGTGAGGCCTGACCTTCTTTTACCTGTATAGAATGCTCAGGAAGGACGTGACAGACACTGGTGATGCTAGCATGTAATGAAACACTCTGTCACTGAATTCTAGAAGCAGGGAAAGTGCTCAGTGAGATAACTTAACGAAGTACCACAGGGCAGCAGGGCTCCTGGGAAGGTTTACTTTAGCTTCTCCAGATTCTAACTGTAATCCCAGTAAGTCACTCAGCAGCACACTCTTGTACCTAAGCGTCACTGCGTCAAGAGTGAGAAGCACACTTGCTCCCAGCTCAGCCAGGCTGGGGGTGCCTGTATCCCTTCTTATATCCTCATTTCTCCAGGAGTTCATTCTCCTTGCTCCCAGTTTAACAGTGAGACAAGTAGGGGCGCCTGGGTGGCTCAGTCAGTTAAGTGTCCGACCCTTGGTTTTGTGAGTTCAAGCCCTGTGTCAGACTCTGCACTAGTGGCACGGAGCCTGCTTAGGATTCTCTGTCTCCCTCTCTGACTTTCCTTCACTTGTGTGGTCTGTCTCTCTCAAAATAAATAAATAAACTAAAAAAATTAAATAAAATAAAAGACAAGTAAATGTAGATAGGAGTACAGCTTTTAAGAATATATACATGTAGTCCAGTTTAGCGATTGGAACTTTCTTTACTTTTTTTAAATTCCAGTGGTCTAAGGGCTTTTAAGCAGGGAAGGGAGGCATCTTTCCATTTTAAAGCCATCCAATCTCTTAAGACAGGCACAGAAACAGTTTCTGACAAAGAGGGGAGTATGGCTCTGGAAGTCAAGGTCTGACATGACATGCTTGGTGCAAACTGAACTGGAGGAGAAAACTGAAGGTGCTGGTCAGCAGGTGGATCTGGAGGTAGGCCTTGGAAATACAACAGTATGTAGGGCACAGGAGGGAAAGAAAGCTAAAAGAGGAGGAGGAGAGCAGAATGAGAATGATTCAGGATGTGAAAAAATGCACATGCTGGAATAAACACTTGCATAGGCTTCACTTAACAATTTTCATCTAGGTCTTTAATGAGGTTAGGTACATCCTGGAGAAAGGGGGGCTATGAATTTGTAAGATCTTTGCCCTCAAGAGATTGATTCCAGGTTTCCCACTCCAAAACAAGTGGGAAATCATTTCAATTACATCAAAAGAAAGGATATAAGGCAGAAATCATACCATGATTTGTGGCTTGGCCTTACCTCAATATAGCATAATAGATGGCTATGTGGGGAACTGGCTTAAGATAATAGTTATTAAAAAGAAACTACTTGGCATTGCTCCCAAATATCTTTTCAAGCAAGTAATCAAAAATTAGGAAAAAGGCTCCTTTTACATTATAGATCTGTACCCAGGAAACAGTCTTGGTGTATTTATACTTTGATATTTAGTTTACCATAGGCCAGTGCTGTTATGTATCTTAAGATTTTTTTTTTTTTTTTAGTTTAAACTTCAATAAAAGCTGCCAGCAAAATAAAAGATAATTTGGTTAGAACGCTGCAAGGAAGAAATATTCCATGACTCTTCATTAGCCTTGAAATTCAAAGCCTCCTATAGGTATAAAGAAGCTACAATCGGAGTTTACAATGAGCATAAATAGCCTCTATTAGATATTCACAAGCTTCAAACTTTATCTAGTTTCTTATCCAGATCCATCAGTTGTCCCTTCTAGTTAGAGGGGGGAATGTTAATCACCCCTCCAGTATGATCACAACATTATAGACGGCCCTTCCAGAAAAAGCACTAACCTCTTCCCTCTTCTCCTTCCTAGGAAAATCTAGAACTTGTGGAAATAAGGATGTAGCAGGGTTACAAAGATGAAGGGTGAATTACATCAGAAGAACTGCTTACAGAAAGAAGGAACCCAGGAGGTCAAAGAAAAGACCAAGTGGTTTAGGAGAAGATGAGCTAATTTCTACACAAAGACCTGGATTCTACTCTTGATTTTTTAATTTATTAACTGCAGAACCATGGGTCTCAGTTTCTTCATGTACAGATGGAGGTTGGTCTAGATGAGCTCTAAAGGATCCATCAGCCCCAAATTTCTTTTCATGTGCTACCCAGAATCAGGGGCCTAGGCAGCCTCCAGCCAGCTCCAGAATCTTAAGGTGAGGGATAAGTACACCCTTGATAAGGACAGTTAGTTCTCTTGCTTGTGGTAAACCTTCAAACGGTTTCATTTCTTTTCAGTAGTTGCTCCATTTCCTATATATTCCAGATGAATTGGTAAAAACACAGTAAGAAGCCAAGGGGATGGCTGCAAAGGGATTGCAAAAGGGAGGTAGAGTAAGGCCTAAAAGCAGACTGGGACGAAACCAGCAGACAAGATGCCGGGGGCATTGAAGGGAGACTGGCCAAGAGACACGAACAATCAAAGTCCCAGAGGTTGGTATACTAGGACACAGAAAAGGAGTGAATCAGGTTGCAGGCCAACTGGAAGAGGCAAAATGTGAGAATACACCAAAGATTCTCAAAAATCCCCAAAAAGGAGGCAATGTCACCTTTCTAGATATTGTCTCCTCTAAACTTAATGCCAGATCAGGAAGCAATCATGGGGCCTGCAGATCATCCACATTTGAAGAGGTACGTGATGAGATCTTGTTAGAATTTGGAAAAGGGAATAAGGGTGAGTCTGCCCCGTGCTTTGACCCAGGAGCTACCTATCCGCAAAACATCCTGTGCTGTCTGGAGGCCAGGACCAATGATACCCTTCAGGGTCAGCACTCAGAAAGAACCCTATCCTAAGAAGAAGAATTGGGGAAGGCAGGTAAGGCTAAGTCACAGAAGTGGTTGTGTGGGACACGACAGTACATCTGAGCCCAGCAACGTTAGCAAAGCAAAGGAAGGCCTGGTGGTGAGAGACAGGAAATGGAAAAAGCTCAGAGACAAAAACAGCCTGAAGCTGAGCACCAAGGAACAGCAAGCCAGTTCCTTTTTTGTCCTTTCCGCCAGACTAATGGAAATGTGAGAAAAGAAAGGCTTTTGTCCTCTAAAAACAAATTAGTCATTTCTCTTTCGGCTTGTAATTGAACACACAAACCTACCCAAGCACTGCAAAACAAGTCCACAGGGCTAGTTTTTACACTCCACGATAATCATTAACACACTTGGAGCGTATCATCTGAGAGAGATAATGTGAGCTCACTCCTGGAGCAACATGAGGAATGTGGCAATAAGAGACTGTCTTGTTTTCCAAACTCTGCTCCCAAAATGTGGGGTAAATTTTTTGAGATAGCAGCACTGTGCTTGTACTGAACCTCAGGAGTCCACCAGAGTGCTCCAGAGTCATGAATTCACATTCCAATGAGGGGGATCAAACTTGCATTGAAATTATTATAGCCAAATCTGGAATCTCACTGCCTTTGGTTGGCCTCCCTTGAGTTGAAAATGTAGTCAGATGCTGAATGGAACACAGAAAAAAGAATCAAATGAATGAGCCTTATCTAAGATCCCAGGAGACCTTGCTGGAGTTACACAGCAACTCTTTTGAACTTGAGAAAAGAGATCAAGGTTCGTCTGAGTGTTGTGGATCATGTTTGAAAATTTAACTCTAAATACTTTTTCTCCCCTGTAATTGTACTCATATACTGCAAAGGGAACTAATCTTGAGATTTTTAGTCTAAGGTTCGAGTTGTTTTATTTTTTTTCCTTTTAAGATGCCATTTACAATAGCATCATCTGAGCCAAATGAGGGGCTCAGGTATGCCTGAAAATCCCAAACTGTAAGCCGCCAATGTACTTTAGTGGAAAGGGTGCTGGTTTCTTCCTTTCCCGCTTATGTTGGTCAGGCTTCATTTCTTTATCACGTATTTGGGGCTAATAAGCCCTCCTGAATTCACTGGGTCTCCTGCCAAGATTAGTTTTAGAAAAACTATTGTGAAAGCCCTCAGGAAACTATAAAGTAATATTAAGTATTAATTATCATCATCATTATTATGACAGTTAGAAACCTCCAGCTTAAGCATGAGCACTGGACACCGTAACTTGGTAGAAAGATAAACACAGTGGCAGATACAAGTCACCCTGGTTTATCTGAAAAGTTAACCTTTAATTCTAGGCTGATAGGCAATCTTTTTTTATGATCTGCAAAAGTTTCAAGAAATGGCTTGGTGATTTTGAATTTTAAAAGCATAGGGGAAAATGCTTAAAACAGATTATAGGCTTAGCATTTAAACGGCAGATGTGATTTCTAAGCACCTAAAGATTTCTGATATTTTGGGGAAAAAATGAATTTTGGGAAAAAAGTTATACTCAGCATGATGCCAAGAAAGCATAGTAAACTTTAAGTCATCCCCTCTGAACCAAAGTCTGGAGCAGCTCACAGCTGCGTGCCCTCAGTTGAATGAACTAGTATAGGCATCAGCTACGAACAACTCCTGTCTAACCTCTGCCTAGGATGGCCAACATGTATTAAAATTCTCCCAATTAACAGTTTCATCTTCCATCCTTATGTATTTGTACTCTCCCAAGGTAAAGTTTTAACAAGCAATGGTATGACCATAGGTGAAAGAGGATGAAGTAAAGGGCCTAGATAATTCACAAAGTACACAGTCACCACCTGAACAAGGAAATACAGGGGAAGGTATGAAAATAAATAGCCAAAAAAGGTCACTTTAAATTACTGGTAATTTCTGATACACAAACGGATTCCTTTTTTCCTGGCCACATAAAATGAATATGCACTCCATGCCAAGCAATTTTCAGTGCATGTTCTTCCAAGTTTATGATGTATTCATATACATTAATGATAAATAGAATAGCACCAATAATAGCTCTAGTCCTACTAAATAAACCCTTGGGACTGCCCAGAAGACTGAAATTGATTTACTTTTCTGCCCCCTATAGAGCAGAATTAGGGCTGCAGAATAAGGTAACTTTCATCAACCCACTTCATACCATGGTAATAATGCAAGGGGGAGTGGGGAAAGGACATCTGAGGTTGATGTATTACTACCTCTCATCATTCACCCCAGCCCTAAACACACGCACCACACACACACTTGGTACCCATACGGAGAGTGAACCTAGTGAGGTTAAACACAATTTGTCCCGCTGAAAACTGCTCAGTAGTGGCAGATCTAAGACTAACACCCAGGTCTCCTGATTCCAATCTGATTCATTGTGTCTACCACAATGCACGTGTTATGACACCATGTTCTACATGAGACATGGTTTCATTCTTTAAAAAAGAAAACATTTAGAACAGTGTCATTCCAAGTAAAGAGTAATATGGTCTTAAGTGCCTCTTAGACTTCTTTGACTGTTCCTCAGTGCCTTACATTTACCAAGTGTGAGCAGAATATATCTTTAAAATACACAAGAGCTAATATATATCACATTTTGGATGTTAGCATTTAATGCTGAGACCAGCACAACAATTCACATTTGACTGTGCCAGCTAAGAGCACAAACAATACCCTGGAGAGGTGGTGAATGTGAGGTAACAGGTCAGAGAACAGATACACTGCTGGCAGTTTTTGTAAAAGTGCAAGGACATAAAAGCAGACATCTGGCTCATGTGAGCTGTGCCTACCGAATACAAACAATTTCATGTTTGTTATAAACCCAAGTTTGAATATTTTTGAGAAATATCTTTAACATATGAGTGTTTTTGATAAATGACTTAGGCCAAATGTGCATTTTAATTTTCTTCTCTCTTTCAGGATACAAATGAGAGTGTATCTGGGAATCAAGAGATGTGGACTTCTTCATTAAGTTCCCCTTTCTGGTCATAAGTAAATCAAAGAGGTTGGACCTAATGAGCTTTAAGATTGCTTCTAGGTTTTAAATGAAGCGACTCCTGATTAAGCGCTACCAAAACATTCAGCTCCTTAAAAATGGCTACAATGGAAAAAAAAAAAAAAAAGAGGAATCAATGGGAAGAAGAGGGCAGCTACCTACACATCACAGAAATGAGTACTCACCAGAGGGTTCAATATTTAACAGAAATTAGGTACACATCACAAGTAAATAGGGCTGTGGGAAATTTTGAAGTAAAATCTGCACCTAGGAATTGTAACGTTATGTTAATCAACATGGAACTTTCCTTGGCTATCCATAAGCCTCTGGAGCATTCATTAGAACATATTTAGGGGTACTGAGAGGTGGGCTGGGCAAAGTTCAGGACAGGAACGCTGCTGACATGCCCACGTCCAGCCAACCAGGAAAACCCTATGCTGGCTCTATTCTGACTCCTGTAAGCACCTGCCTGCAACATGAATGCAATATTGAATATATTTAATTATGGGAAACTCTAATTTCTAGTGAAGGTGGTTCAAAGTTTTAAGTGCCCTCCTTGACAAATTAAGCTCCACAGGACACACTGCCTGACCCTTAGCAGGGTCAAAAATCTGTCAGTTGATTTGAAAATTTAAAACAACACAATTATGAGCCCTCAGGTATAGTGCTGTTGGCTGAGCCTATATAAATTATGCCTTTTTAAACCTTTCCAAAACAGACTACCCGAAATGATACAACGGGTATTGCTTCTTTTACCTTCTGTAGGGTGAATGGCATCCAAGAAGAGTTGCTTGTTTGACCATTTATCCCCACTTCCTAAAAACAATGAGAGAAAGAAAGTGAAACTCTATTCCCAGGATAGACACATACACTATAAAAATAAGACTACACTTAAGAGCTTATATAGGACACATTATCACACAAATGAAGCAGAGTTTTATTTTAACTATTTAATTTTCAAAATTACATTTGCCAACTAAAATAATCAGGCTATACAGGAAATGGATTAAAAATAAACAAATTCGCCTTTTATGAAATCACACTGCTGGATAATTTCTATGACTTTAACTAAGATAACTGAAGATCAGTTCAAAGGGAATGATAAAAGCCAACATTTTTACCTGAAAAGTGATGTTTCTCTACTGGAAGCAGAGCAAAAAATAGTAACATACAAAACTAAGAGGCTAGAGTGGAGGTGAAAATAAAACCCAAATTAAGTAAAAGGTTACACATAGGAACACGGAGGCACATATGTCTACACATGGAAGACAGGTGCATTTTAAGCCTCATTCCAGAAACATAAAAGGCTTCACAAGTGGCCATGCAAGTAGAATGCAAATGGGCATCGGATGAGTAGGCTCATAGTCACGAAAGTAACATGCAGGGCGATGCTAAAGAAAGCCTAACTTCCAGGCCACGTGGCTGTACTGAACCAGATGGGAACATTTGTCTTTTGTGTGAAAGAATAGGAGTCCTGAACTATGAGAAGGCAGAAATCTTCAGATGAGCCTTGAAGAGGTTCAAGGGCCCATCAAAATCATAACAATAAGATAGATGCTCAGAGTGAAGAGATGGTGGAGGGCAATGCGTCTCTAGTGCCCTCTGGAAATAAGTTATGTGACTGAAGGGGGTGGGAAGAGTCTGGCAAACGAAGTAATATAGATTGGAAAAAGATGGGTTACGACTTAGGAGTGGAATCCTCCTAGATAAGAATCCTCAAGGGTCAGAGAGAGTACAGAAATGGTGGCACTTTCATATGAATAGGGAACTCTTAAGGTTTCAGGAGATAGGAAAACGTGGTCCTGCTTTGATGGCTGCCAAACATGAGAAAAACAAGAAAAGTCAAAGAAAATAAGTGGATAAGAGCTCAAGAAGACTAAGTTACAAAATGCACCAAATACGGATGAAAACAAAGCAATTTTAGGATTCATATGGAACGCTGAAAATAGAGACATTACGGGATTTGAGTAGGAACCCAAGTGAAGGAGATCTCTCTTTGCAATTAGCTGTGGAGTCTAGAAATAATGAATATGCCTGCATTAGGAGCTGATGACACTGAAGCAAGCCAAGGGGAGGAAAAGGCAAAGGTGGTGCACAGAAGCGTTACTCAAAGATGGTTCACAATGGAGGTGGCCAAGAAACCTTGATGGAGGATGGAAGGCACCAATACCTTTTTCCGGAACATTAGGCTTCTCCTTTTTGTGCTTATATTTGCTGACAATTTTGTGGAATAAGTTCTTTTTCTGAGACTGGAAAGGACCTACAGACAATATTAATATAAATATATTTTAAATTCACAATGTTTCATAAAACAATACTGTGTGTTCCTCAACAATTACACCCTCCTCCCACCTATGGTAGAAGCAAACTGAGTCACAAGAAAGGTCATCTTGCATATTTTTCTTTGCTCATAACTAGTGCTCAACACCCTTCCTTAGGCTTATTTAAAACCCGGTGAAATTTTCCTTAGCAATATATTGGGCAGAAGCCCCTAGTAGGGCTGGGACTCCTTAAGCACAAACTGCAAATTTAGTGATCAGAGACAGACTACAACCCATAATAGCACAGTAGTTGTACTCTTCAATAAAGATTTAGATTCCTAAATCTAAATGTCATGAAGGAAAGGATGGCAGGGGCATTTCTTCTCTTCTTAGAAACTGGTTTTCATAGTAAGAACAGCAATTTAGGACAATAATTGGCCTGTTAGCATCAGATAGCTTTCTAGCCTTTTCTGTGGTTATTTTAGGAAGAAAACCTGCTTTAAAGATAGAGAAATATTTACCAAAAAAAAAAAAAAAAAATCAGGGCGGGGAGGGAAGTCTCAGATTGTATCTTTGTTGTCTTAAATAAAACAGAACTAAGATTTTCAATCACCAATAGGAAATGTCAACGGCAGCACTGACGTCCCCAAAGCAGGTTTCTTTCTATACCCTCTGCATATTCCTTTGTGAAACGGACTCAAATCATTTTACATAACTTCTGTTTGCTCATCTGTAAATGGGGATAACGATAGTGCCTAACTCAAAGAGCTGATGTGAGGATTTAAAAAGTTGGAGACTCTATAAGCTGCCCCTGTTGCACCTACCCACCTGCCAATATCTGCACCCACACATGCTGCCTTCCTGCCAAAGGCAAACTATCTACACTCCTGCCTAAAGTATACAACATGCTGGCTTTTATGTTTGCACATATCTGCAACTGTCGCCAATTTTAGATCATTTTTACTACCTCAAAAAATCAATCCCATATCCTGTAGCTACCTATCACCCTTCCCTATTTCAGCATTCCCTCTACCTCTAAGCAACCACTAATCCACTTTCTGTCTCTAAAGATCTGCCTATTCTGGTAACCTCATATACATGAATCATGTAATATGGTCTTTTGTGTCTGGATTCTTTCACTTGGTATAATGTTTGCAAGGTTCACCCATGTCGTAGCACGCATCAGCATTTCACTCCTTTTTAAGACTGAATAGGACTCCACTGTGTGGATTATACTACATTTTGTTTATTCACTCATCAGTTGATAGATATTTGGCTTGTTTCCACCTTTTGGCTGTTATAAATAATCCTGTTACGAATATTCACATATAAGCTTTAGTGTGGACATGTGTGTTCATTTCTCTTGGACATAGAATACCTCACCAGTGGAATTGCTAGGTGATATGGTAACTCTATGTTTATAAACCTTTGGAGGAACTGCCAGGCCCTTAAACATCCTTACCAACACATTGTTATCTGTCTTTGATTATGACCATCATAAGGATGTATTTCTGTCACTGTAGTTTTGATTTGCATTTCCCTAATGACTAATGATGTCAAGCATCTTTTCCTGGGCTCACTGGCCATTTGCATACCTTCTTTAGAGAAATGTCTATTCTGATAATTTGCCCATTTTTCAACTGAATTTTCTTTCTTCTTACTGACGCATACAGTTCTTTATATATTCTAGATAAAAATCCTTTATATTCTAGATAAAAATCCTTTATCTAGATAAAAATTCTTTATATATTCTAGATAAAAATCCTTTATCTTTATCTAGATAAAAATCCTTTTTTTTATTCTACATAAAAATCCTTTATCAGATATGTGATTTGCAAATATTTTCTCCCATTCTGTGGATTTTCTTTTCACTTTCTTATTAGTGTCCTATGAAGCATAAAAGTTTAAAATTTTGAAAAAGTCCAATTTATTCACTTTGTATGTGGTTATTCAGTTCTCCTAGTTCCATTTTGAAAAGACGATTCCTTTCCCCCTTTGAACAGTCTTGGCTTCCTCACTGAAAAACTGCTGACCAATGATGTACAGGTTGATTTCTGGGCCCTCAATTCTATTCCACTAACCTATATAACTATGTTAGCACCATGCTGAATTGTCTACTGGTTTTTGTAGCCAGTTTTGAAACTGAAAAAATTTTGGCTATTCTGAATTCCTCGCAATTCCACATTAATTTTAGAATCTCTTATCAGTATCTACAAAATTAAACTGACATTCTAACAGGGGTTGGGTTGAATCTGTGTATCAATTTGAAAGAGTGTTTCCACCTTAATAAGTCATCTAATCCATGAACATGGGATGTTTTTCCATTTATTTGTCTTTCAACAATATTTTGTAGTTTTCAATTTGTTGTACTTCTTTTGTTAAATTTATTCCTACGTACTTTATTCTTTTTGATGTTACTGTAGATGGAATTGTTTCTCCAATATTTTTAGATTGTTCATTGAAACTGTATAGAAATACAACTGATTTTTGTATAATGATCTTGTACTCTGCAACCCTGGTGAACTCATTCATTCATAAGCTATGGTAGTTTTCTAGGGAAATCCTTAGGTTTTCTATATAAAATATCATGTCATCTGTGAACAGAAAGAGTTTTACTTCTTCCTTTCCACAATACAGAAGCCTTTTGTTTTCTTTTTCTTGCCTAAGTGCCCTGGCTAGAACCTCAATTATGATGTTGAACAGAAGTGCTGAGAATGGACATTCTCGACTTGTTCCCTACTTTAGGGGGAAGCATTCAGTCTTTCATTACTAAATATGCTGTTTTGGGATTTTTATAGGTGTTCTTTAGCAGGTTGAGAAACTTTCTATTCTCAGTTTGTTGAGTATTCTCATTAAATGTGTTGGATTTTGTCAAATGCTTTTTTTCTACATCTCTCGAGATGATCACATGGGTTTTTTGTTGTTCTATTGATATAGTATATTACATTAATTGATTTTTGGATATGAAACCAACATTGCATTCTGCAAGTAAAATCCCATTTGGTAATGGTGTATAATTCTTATTATATGTTGCTGGATTTGGTTTGCTACTATTTTGTTAAGGATTTTTATGTCCATTATTTTAAGAGATAGGATCTTGTAGTTTCTCTTTCTTGTGGTATCTTTGTCTAGTTTTGAGATTAGGGTGATGCTGGCCTCATAGAATGAATTAGGAAGTGTTCCCTCTTCTACTTTTTGAGTAGGTTTGAAAAACTGATATTAATTCTTCCTTGAACATTTGGTAGAATTCAGCAGTGAAGCCTGGGGTTGGTTCCCTCCTCTCCCAGGTATTTTTGTGATTACTAAATTCAATCTTTTTAGTAGTTACTGTTCTATTCAGACTATTTCTTAAGTCAGTTTTGCTAGAGTTCTTTCTAGGAATTGTCTATTTCATGTAGGTTATCTAACTTATTGGTATATAATTGTTCATGGTACTCCTTTATAATCCATTCCATTTCTGTAAGATCAGTAGTAATGTCCCCAATTTTATTTCTGATTGTAGTAACTTTGCTGTTCTCTCTTTTATTTTTATTTTATTTACTTATTTTTTGTTTAAAAAAATTTTTTTAACATTTATTTATTTTTTGAGAGACAGAGAATGTGAGTGGGGGAGAGGCAGGGAGAGAGAATGGAGACACAGAATCTGAAGCAGGCTCCAGGCTCCGAGCTGTCAGCACAGAGCCCAATGAGGGGCTCAAACTCATGAACCATGAGGTCATGACCTGAGCCAAAGTCAGATGCTTGCTTAACCGACTGAATCACCCAGGCACCCCTAGTCTTCTCTCTTTTTTAATTGGTCAGTGTAGCTAAACATTTCTCCTATTTGTTGTTTTTAAAGAACCAGCTTTTGGTTTCATTGACTCTCTATTGATTTTCTATTCTTTATTTAATTTTATCATGTCCTCTCTCATCTTTATCATTTCCTTTCTTATACTTTCTTTAGGTTTAGTTTGCTCTTTTTCTTACAATGTTTCAAGATAGACTAGGTTATTAATTTGAGATCTTTCCTCTGTCTTAGCATATACATTTAAAGCTATAAACTTCCCTCTAAAGCATTGCTTTAGCTGTAGCCCATAAATTTTGGCATGTTGTTTTTTCATTTTTATTCATCTCAAAGTATTTTCTGATTTCCTTATGAATTTCTTCTTTGAATTATTAATTATTTATTTAGACTTATTGAGTTATTTAGACTGTATTGTTTAATTGCTACATATTCGTGAGTTTCCCAAATATTTCCAGCTGTTGACATTTAATTTCATTCCACTGTGGTCTGAACACGTTAATTTGATTACTTCAATCCTTTTAAATTTATTGGTTTGTTTTAAGGCCTAGTATATGGTGCATTCTAGAGACTGTTCCCGTGTTCACTGCAGAAGAATATATATTCTACTATTGATGGGTGGAGTGTTTTATATAGAGGCACAGCTTGGAGATATTGCAGGCTTGGTTCCAGGCGACCGCAATAAAGCAAACATCGCAATAAAGTGAATCAAATTAATGTTTTGGTTTCCAATGCATATAAAAGCTGCATTTATACTACACCATAGTCTGTTAAGTGTGCAATTACATTAGGTCTACAAAAAAGCACGTATCTTAATAAAAGGGTATCCTATTGCTAAAAAATGTTAACTATTATCTGAGTTGTAATCACTGATCACAGATCACCAGTGTGACACAGAGACATCAAGTAAGTAAATGTTAGAATGCTGATATATTTGACACAGGGTTGACCCAAACCTTCAGTTTGTAACACAACACAGTATCTGCTAAATGCAATAAAACGAGGTATACCTGTACTTTTTTTTAGGACTAGTTAATGTTACCTGTTCAGTCTTCTCTTTCCTCGTTGATCTTTCGCCTAGTTGTTCTATCGAACCTACTCTTCCCCCGCCCCCCCCCCCCCCGCCACAGCATGTCTCACCTTCTAACACATTATATGCTTTGTTTTTTGTTTATGCTTGTTTACTACCTGGTACCCCTGCCATAAGGAACCACCATG